TCTACAGGAACATTGATTGAGTATTTTCCCTTTGATTTTGAGAGGAATGTATCACTTTTCAGAGTATCCATTAAGTCTGTCTCAGCCAATTTAAGCAGTTCTTTTCTCTTTAGTGAAACGGTGTTTACATCAAAGTCCAATACTTTCAGCAGTAAGGTATCTACCTCATTTGAGTATCCCTTTTCAACTACATCTCAGTTTAACCCAACAAGAACACACACAACCCTTGGATCCGGCTTGCTTCAAGCGAAGCGCTCGGTTTATTCTCCGAAAAGACTAAAAGATACCCATGACATGGTGGTACATCGTGGCAACTGAAAACGATAATTGTAACTTTATAGTGAAACAAACGCCAGTGAATGAACAGCAGCAACAACTATAAAATCAACGAAATTGCAGTTTGTCAGAACTGTCTTTAACAGAAACGCTTTGCACATGATTTTTTCGGTGCTTTAGTGAATTAATGTTAGACTCGGTAGCAAAACTCTGCGTGATTTCTATGAGAACAAAAAGAGAATATCAACAAACACTTTAAAAAAAAAAAAGTAGATGATGGAGTTACATTTGTTTAAATATTCATCTTCCACATTTGTAGGGCTTTCCTCCGTTGTGTCCCCTAACCAAAAAGTAGGTGAACTCTAACCCTAACCTCGGAAAACTCCGAGAAATTCTTTCTAATTTCGTGGCTCAATTAACCAAGAGGGTAGATTCATTTTTGACATTTAGATATTTAAAGTAAAGTTTTACAAATAAATTAGTAGTATTTTTATAATTTTCAAGAATATTTATGTTAACTAATTCAGTATTAATTTTAGTTGTAATAAAATTACGCATGTATCAGTGCTGCTTTTAAGAAGGGAGCAAAGGATTTTAGAGAATGGATTTTGGGGGGGGAATGGTCAATTTTCAAATACACCTGTAATTCATTTTCCTTTAAAGGAAGTTAGCAGGAATGTGGTGTAATTCATTACCTAAATTTTAATATCTATTTTGCACGCTAATCGTCAAAGTGACGTCATCCAGATTTTCCTTTCGTTTTTTGAGTTTCATTCAACTGATTTTTTTGCTCCAAAAATGTTCTTTAACTTTTTACTGCGGACAGTGCAAAAATTTACTTTCGCAAAAATTCGTGCCTTGCCTGACACGGAAGGTGGCCTGTTTCACTGAGTCTTTATAGTGCTACTGTAATGAACTGACCTTTCCCTCTCCTACAAAACGCTTAGGTCAAAATAAAGATACTTCAGCATAACTGCGACTGGCTCGTAACAAACAGCTTTAAATTGTACTATATTGCCGTGATTGAGATCATGCAGTAAACGAGCTTCGTTAGTGAATGTATCGATAAATTGTAAAGACGAACCAAGCAATTTCTTTACAACAACTGACTCGCCTGAATTCCTGTCCAGGTGTTAACCATACTTGGTCCCAAAAACTGCTACGAACAATCCTTGTCCAACCACATCCTGTTGCCCTAGATCACTCAATTTAAATTCTGGAAGGCCCTCAAAGCGAACGATTCGCTTCTTCTTCACCGTCAATGCCAAAGGCACTTTGAAATTTGCAAGAGACAACATGGCGTAGGAAGAGGTAAAAGAAAGCACGTAGTGGCTACAAATACCCGAATTTTCCCGCCAAAATGCTGCGCAAAAATTGAGAATTTCTGTGTAGAACAATGTACAAAGTTGTTATGAAATATTAAATTCTCCTCAGTCTTCCGTTTCCCGGTACCACAACCGGGAGTCTGTTTGATTTTTATTTTTCGGAAAGGGAAACCGGATCGCAGGTTGTAAAAGGGACGGGGATATTTACCATTTCTTGCTTTGGCAGCTGGGAACTCTTTTCAAAAAACTAAAACGCAAGAAACTTATAAATGGGAAAGGGTAGACTACAAAAATGGGAGGAAGCTGAGGTTCCGTAAGGCTGTCAAGAAGGAGCCATTCAGCCAGTTTTTGGTAGCAGAAACCTCGTTGTTCCCATAACAAAGTCGAGCTGTTATGGCACAAACTGCCCACCTACAGAACATGTTCACAGCACAACCTTCACACACATCTTGCATGTGCACAGTCTATTACTATTAATCTTTATTCTTCATGCAACATCTAAGCCCCCGCAAGAGGTCGTGGAGCCTAATAAATTTCACCACGTAATCCTATTTGGCGCTGACTGTTTTGCGACAAACTAAACTTCAGTGTCTTGTAGCATTTGGAAACATTTGAATTAAATGATGTCTTCTTAAAAGACAACTTTTGTGAAAGCTATTTAGTTAATTTGTTTACGTTAGCACGATTACACGTTGCATTGGAACCGTTGGTTGGTTTCAGTTATTAGCATTATGGAATAAAACTTCGAAATCAGTCTTTTTCTTCATTTCCATTGAAACCATAACTCCGACGAGGGTAAAGTCTGTCAGGTACCAAGGTCTGTTTCGTTGATCTTTTTTCTTGTTTTCTAATCATTGTCCTCATCGTCAGTCTCTTTGGTAGCCTGTATTGGGTTCTTACGCCGATTAAAAAATAGTCACAGTCTTATAATCTACACGAATCCAAACACTAATCCCTTTGAGAGACAAGTACAGTTTGGCAGCTCACAACGCCTCTTACACTAGCATAACAACAACTACAAGACTCATCCAGTTAACTATCAGTTTACCTTTCTCAATACTCCAACCATAGCCAACTGGGGAGGGTATCAGTGGGGAGCTCTGGAGGCTTCGACGCCATATTGCAGCCTGGTAATTAGGCCCAGTCTCAGTGCTTACACAGAGTGTTCATGCATGCCAGACGCTGGTTGGAGTCGAGGTCTCCTTTCCTGGCACAGAAGAGACGAAACCACAGGTCATTCACATAACTGGTACCTGAATTCGAGCTTTACATCTTAAAGGAGAACTCTTGAATTGGAGTAAATAGTTCATCAGACACTTCTCACTCAGTGCCAAGTGCTTAGAATAGCTCCCTGAACTTCACGTGTCGCTTCGTCAACCAGTTTTCCTTTCCCAAAAAAGGCGCCTTCGCTATAACAGCCAGTGGAGGCATTTAACCCAGGAAGACAGGTGCACAGCGCTGAGCTTTGGCGCTGGACAACATGTTCGATGTCAAGAAATCTATTTTTTCTTGCAGCCGGTTCTTGCACATTAATAACTTGAATGATTTTCATTTTAAACTCTGAATTATCGTGGTAATATTAAAGGTGACGAATTACTCTTTAACTTTGGTGCGAAATTTTAGCGTTAATTTTTACACAGTGCATTACAGTCCTCTTACCGGTTTAGATGGCTCAGTAACTTCCTTATCCACGCTCTTTTTATCCCCTGACTTCTCTTCTTCAGCCTGGGGGGATATCCCCGGGAATTCTTGGGGCTGACCCTCCGCCAAGAAAGCGATAACCCTCCTTGTGCATCCCCAAACAGAACATGGCACGCAAGACCACTCCCTCCGGAGGCGGCAGGGACTTGGTTTCTTCCTCGTACATCCCCAATTAGGTGAACATCCCCGTCAGTCGCTTGCTCACACCATGCAGATCCCTCGTCGTCAGGCACCTCACGAAAACCAACACCTCCTTCTGATTCAGTGTGAAAAACCACGAACGAAGGCCTATCCCATAATGGGTATACACGTTGTACAATCACTGGCACTGCTCCAATGAATTGAATTTGGCAAATCCCCTCTGTAAAACAAAAAGACCTAATGTCAGTTCACGTCTGATTCGGGTTGAACTGATTGACACACTCGTCAATAATGACAGCAGGAAACCCACCCCTTAGGCACTCGCTTCTGGATATGATGAAAAACCTCGCTGGGACCTCCTTTTTCGCGTCACTTCAGACAGGAATGGACGTTAGCGCGTTGAATGGGAAAGCCCACCCCCAAGAACATCGCATACACGACCCATATGCAATGACCCGGAGCCTGTCTCTGCAGATAAGCATAAATATTGCTTGGGTGGCTACGTGAGGCATGTCTCTTGGGGGTCAAGTTAATAACCTTTTCCAACGTACCTTAGGCGATATCCTGTCCCCGATGGATCGAGCAATAACATCGCGTTGTGTTCCCTTCGAATCGAAGGTACACCGCCATGATGTGTGAAAGAGATGGGAAAGACCCGTCCGAGGGTGGGGTTTAGTTGCAAAACGTAAATGTCTTTTGTGATGTATCTTTAATTCCAATACCGATGTATGCCGGCACGTTTTCCCCTTTTAATTTTTATTTAATGGTGTAGTTTGAACAAATTGTTGCGTTCTGAACAGGGCACTCCTTAAAGAGAAAACATTTTTGCACTTCAAGGAGAAAGTAGCTGTTGTTTTTTTCTGCTCTTTCTATAAGACTTTAAAAGACCCTGTAAGACCCGTTTTCGGATTTCGTGTTCGATTGGGAAATCCGGACTTGGATTTTTCAAATCTAAATCCGGATTTCCCAATCGAATGCACCCTCAGACAACTTGACAGATCAATCGCTGTTTTGCAATCATCGAGCTGTTTTAGAAGATCGACCACAGCTTCTGTATCAGCAGTGACGGGTATTGCGTCATTGCAAACATGTGTGGGCACGTCGTCACACCTCCCGACCAAATATTAATACAATGCTGGACAAAGGCAGGGGTAGCTGGGGCCATTTTGGAATAGAGAATGAGAAACGATCACTCCAGCGATAAAAAACAAATGTGCCTTTGTCAAATCTTTTATTGGAAGCACCCTCTCTGGTTTTCCTAGGAAAAGCCTTGTCTTAACTTGATCAAGAGTAAGCTGATAAAACTCAGCTGAAAGGGCACCTGCGTCAACGCCATCTTCCCCTTCAAAAGCTATGACAACCTTCTTTATCAGTCTTTCTTTGTCAAACTTGTAAAATGCAAGGACGTTGCACTATATGTTATCTTGCTCAACTGTGATATTAATTTCTTCTTCCGGTTTTACTCGGGAACTCTGTCAGCACTTGCATCAGCATTTTGTTAGATTGCTCAGGACTGCAATTCACCAGTCCATCGATCGTGGCATCTAGTGAAAAACTTTAAGTCGCAACTTTTGATAGCGTATCAAGTTCGACTTGCAGGAAGATGTCCCTCAAAACTTCCAGCTTTCCACTAAAGGAAGCTGTGCTTCCCCAATGAGACGAGGTCAAAGGCATTAAATCTCCAACTGTCTTCGCAAGACTTTCATCACTGGTTAGATCAACTGACACCTAGTTAAAGGACTGTGAGAAGAATCGTACCTATTTCCCTCTGTGTCAACTGTTTGGGCACTGGTTCCAGGTCTCGCCAGAGTGCATTTAAGGGACTGGCAATGCACTCCCAGTTCAGACAAGTTTACCTCCTTTGCACAGTGGATGCACGACTTTTTGGGTGTTTCTCTGGTCACTTGTACAACTTGATCTAGTTCTAAATAAGTTTGCAACGGCCTTATAAAAAATGTGGCTGAATAAAGGGATGCCCTTAGTTCTTGGATGCAACAACCCCGAGAACCTAATGGAATTGGCATGAATGGCGGAGCACCCGATTCCCCAGTACTTGACTTCAAAACCTCAATGGCTCGTTGCTGTAACTGCAATTAGGGGAATTCTTCTTCTAAGTTCTTGATAAAATAGGCATGAACAAAGGTCGTATTTACCCTTTTCAAGATTAGGTAACATACATTCATTCCAGCTTTTTGTGGAATAGTAAATTTTTGGTTGCAAACTTACTAGCAACTTGTCTAACTCGACAGATGGTGGTGCTATCTTCGTCTCCTATAAAGGTAGAGTAGCGGATACAACATGCTTTGGCATGCTCGTAGATTTCTGCTGCAGCCCCTGCCTCCATTGACTTGGAATTGCCAGTATGATTCTTTCGACAGTCGTGAGTATCTGGCCGTTGTCCTGACTTGTACACACTCTCACATATTCGGCAGGTGGTGTTCCTCGTTTCGAAGTGAATAATTTTACCCGTAGCTCGTCCAGCAGCAGTGTCTTGTCCTGCCACCCCATATCGTAGGAGATTGCAAGGAAGGCCATCATTGCGGATACCATGAAATTGGTAAGTTTTTTTGAATACAGGGAAAACTTGGGATGGGGAATACTCTAGCATGCAGAAAACTTATACAAATTTTTCTTTGATTTCTAAGGTGGGCAATTCAGGCTATGGCAAAACCATCACTAAACACTGAAACACACAAACGTGGATTATTGCAGTGATGCAGAGGCCACCCAAAAAGTCAACACCCCACTGTTCCGGAAACTGGATAATATCACAGAAGACACTTACAAAGTAGAGTCTTGTAAGAAAACTATTAAGTTAAACTTAACCATTGAAGTCAGCTTTTTTGTGTATCAGTATGCGAAGTTACGCATGCTGCAGTTTTATTATGATTTTTTGGATAAATATTTAGATCGTGCATATTTCCAAATGTGTGAAATGGACACGGATAGTGCGTATATCGCCATCTCAGGGGAAAGTGTAGAAAGTTCAGTGAAACCCGAACTAAGAGTTAAGTTTTATCAAGATAAGTGCAACTGGCTTCCAAGAGCTGATACGCCTGAACATATAGCCTATGATAAGAGAAAGCCAGAGTTATTTAAAGTAGAGTGGGAAGGACAAGGAATCGTGGGTTTGTGTAGTAAATGTAGTAGTACTGTACTGCAGTACTGTTTTGGGGCGAAAGATACGTTTTCTTGCAAAGGGTCAATAAAAAATGTAACGACATTAACGAAGATAAATATGATTCTCATGATCTGATTATTCATTGCTTTTATATGTGTATTTTATATTGTTGTGAAGGCCGTAAGTTAGATTAAGATTTACAATCGTACATTCAAAAACACAAATAAAGTTTCCATCATTCTACTCCGAGCGAGAGGCACATCAACTACATCGCCCTATTGGATCGATCACCATAGTTCAGACAACCATAATAAGCTAAAGATGGCGTCCAACATTCCCATTTCTCTAGTGAGGGCGAAAGCAGATAACTTCCAGCAGGAGAAACAAAAGTCAAGACATTTGTCAAAAGACACCATATCGTTGGAGTAGACCATCAGTGCTCCTCCATTCTCGAAAACGCCTTGTGTTAGACATTGAAACTTTGTCCCGCAGTTTGGGCAAAATTCTTCGGAGGATGTTCCTTCGCCATATTTCTTTTTTAACTGTGTCACAATTGAGGAATGCGAACTTGTAGCTCGATTTAAAGTGGTACGCACACAAAAAGTAACAGAATCCTTATCTTTGAGGTGGGATCTTTTAATGTGGCGTATTAAAAGCATCCGGAGAAGGGATTCCCTTTGGTCACATGAGCAATTATGTTGAAGCTGTAGAAAAACTCGTTTTATTAATCCAGGCCAAGACAGATCTTCAAGTGGGTTTGACGCAAACTTGCCTGATGACTCGCCCTTTCCCTGTTTCGTCCCTCCAGGGTGGCTAACAGCACTAATATACAGTTTGTTGATGACCTCCAAGGTCAAACCTTGAACTGGGAGGAGCTTATGAGAAGTAACACATTTGCTTCAATTTATTCAGCAAATGATATTAACAAGATACGAATGACTGATTGCTGCCCAGCGAAGGCTTTAATTGAAGACCTCCTATCCAGAGAAATTCCACTAAAAGTCTTGCTAAGAGTTCTATTTAAAATTGGCATGAAAAAATGTTCATTTTCAATCCTTGAAAGACAGAAACCCAAACTTTTAACACATGGGCCATCAATGGCAAAGTACTAGGGACAAGGCAGTATAGTTTTTATCTCTAGAAGTGGGTTGGACCCTGCCTCAACAGTTAAAAGTCAAAAAAAGACAGAAAAAAAAGACAAAACATGACAAAGAAAAGACAAGGCATGAAGTTCAAACAAGGGAAATCTTATTTTTCCTGTAGTAATAGACACACCGACTGTTGCTGGTTGTTTATCAGGTGTGTCATCACTGTAGGAAGTATCTGGAGTAGATAAAGAGAGAATGTTGTAGCACTGCCTAGGTGTGTTACTCTACATAGACTCTAAATGTAATATTTTTGGGGATCAAACTTCGGTTTCTCCTTTGACAAAGTCTCAAGTTCTCAGCTTACGTGCCATAGGGAATGTATATAGAACCGTGTCAATGTAGACACTCAAGAGTGACAAACGTCATTTTCCTCTAAACAGCTGATCCGTACACAAGAGAAAAGGACATAGCTTTCAATGGCGGTGTTTATCAACTTGCAATGATTTTCAACAACAATCTTTTTTGTGAACATTTGGCATTACCGAAAAGGGATTAACAATAGTTTTTGTTGTGGCTTTTCTCCAGTTCTGTCCTTGCTCCTTGAAGTATCTTTAGCCTCTCAACCAGCCATGGCAATAAAAGAATTGTTCAAAAGTGTGTCAATGGCCTTTGGCTGTTCCTGGGACAATTCTTCACTACCTCATGTACCTGGCTGATTTAAAATGGTACTCAGGGTGTGTTAGTTGTTCATAAACTTTTAAATGGACGGTCTAGGAAACGTATTAGCGTACAACAGGTCTTTTGAGGGAGGGGGCATTTCAGGTGCAAAACTGGCTAAACTTTTCTAGTTATTTATTTCCCAGATAAAACATTAGTATTGCTTTTTCTTCACTAAATGATACAATAAAATAATATATCTTAAAGTGTGTATAACATGAGTGTAGTGAGTTTTGAAGTTTGTTTGTTACAGTTTGTTAAGAGTATCTCTAATTTATTTATGAGTGCGAATTTATATATAAGGTTAGTTTGTGCTGTTAGAATAGTGCGTTTGCAACCTCGTTAAGTTGCCAAATTTTTGTTCTACCCGTCCCCAAGGAGCGAGCATTCTTCCATCCAAACGCTGGACTGAACCGACAGCGAAGCAGCAGTATGGCGTTTCACTTCATGAACGGGCTCTTAAGAGATGAGCTGAATTGTTACTTCTTGCTTGAACTTGCTCATGAATATCAAATAGAGTCCAATGTTGAGAAGTGCCAGTCGTTTATGTTTTTTATGGTCAAAGAAAAGATAGAGAATGACGTTCTTACGATGCTCATCTACGGGCAAAACTATCACTTTAAAGCTCTTACATCAGCGTGTATAGATGAAGTACGACACTTATCGTTGAAGGAATGA